TGAAATTCTGTTCTCTATTTTCATGCATTTTATCCAGATCTCTCTGGAATCTTTGATCAAATGGTTAGTAATGTTTTCTGGGTAGCATTCAGTTCTTCCGGTCTTTTGATAAAGAAGTGGTTGTTTGTAGAAGCAGTGAGCTGTACATTACTTATCTTGGTCCTGCGTCTGTCTTTTGATAACATGCAAGTATGCTTTTTTTTTCTTTTCCATTTTTGTGGTTGTTGTTGTGTACCATAGAGTTGGAACTCACCTATCGCTGACTCTCCAATGGGTTTTCAGAGGCAGTTAATCTCACAGTAGGGATTTCCCATCCTTCTCCCATGGAGCAGCTGGTGGCCTGGAACTGGTGCCTTTGAGATTGCAACACAGTTTCTTGATACTAGGCCACCAGAGCTCTCTAAAATGCTTTTTTTGATAGCCAAATGTGAATTGAAAGTGTTAACAAAAGAAGGAACACTTTTATTGGGGAAGGGGGTGGAATGGCTTATTATTAAGTTTCTGTTTCTAGATTTGAAAGTTACAGTTTCAGATTTCATGTCACCATGTTGGTAAAATTACCCAGGTTTATTGTTAGCCCAGTAGCTGTGGTTGACACATTCCATGGTTTATGGAATGGATATGTCTGCTTGTCTGTGGTACGGTAATTAAATATACTCACTTCATTCCACTGACCTCCTGGCTTTATAGGTTTTTTTGTTGTTTTTCATAATTCTTCAGAAAGCCCTTTAGGATTATTTGCTTGTTTGACTTATGGCACTGTTTACTTATGGCTGTGATGATTTTGCTGATGGAAAATGTTGAAAGTAGGATAAAAATCACCATCTCCACCAGTATGCCCAACAATTTTGAGAGTTACTGTATTTTTTTCAAATAAATGTCTATAAATAACACAGACAAACATAGTACATGCATATGAGACATAGTCAAAGGAGAGTTGCACAGAGTGCAAAAAATAATGCACATATTACTTGCTTAAAAACTTGGCATGTTTCCTTCTTCATAACTTGTATCTGTAGCAGTATGTGAAGTATCCTCAGAAATGGGGGATATATAGAATATTAAATTGGCATAAAAGAGGTTCTGGGCATTTACAGTTTTAGAATTCCAAATTTCAACTGTTTGTTACGAACCTTTGTGGTCCTTGATTTTATTGAGACACAGTATGAACTAGAGTCACAGATGTTATGGGACTGCTGTGTGGGAGTTAGTCGCCCAATTAATGAGTGAATCTAGCTCACCCCCAGATACTAAATCTCAATATGATCGTTTCTCTCATGGTTGAGGTGGTTGTTATGATGTCAAGAGATTCATTTTTAGAATCAGACAATATTTAAGTTACTTAAACTTATACTTTCCTCATCTGATTAGTGGGAAACATAATAGCACCTATCTCAAGAGATCTGAGGAGAAAACTCATATGAAACAACACATATTAAGTATAAGCAGATTCTTTACAGACAATTATAGGCAAATAAAGTTTATCTAAAGGAGCTCTGTTACCACAGGGATTAAAGTGGTTGCTTGTTAATGGAAAAGTTGGCAGTTGAAGTCCACTGAGCTGCTCTGCAGGATAAAGTTGTGGCGGTTTGCGTCCATAAACACTACTGTTTTAGGAACTCTATATTAGCAGTGGGTTTTGGAGTATCCTGTTAAGAGCACCTTCAGTTCTTCCAGGCAAAAATCATCAAGCTGAGATGGGCAGTCCATGCTGCAGATAGCAGTCTACAAGTCCAACACAGCCTTCTGAGAAAGTGTGAGAATAGCATGTTTGAAGCCTGCTGGGTTGGCGTCTGCAAGCTTCCCTGAGCCATAGCCCATGTGAACCATAAGGGTATTGGACCTTGTGCCAAAGTACCTGAGTACCACTTTGTCAGCCCTGATTCAGCTATGTCCCTGCAGCATCTTCCAGTGCTAGAAAATCTAGGGCCAGGAGGAGGGTTGTATTAGGATGGAGGGAGCATTAACAGGCCAGTCTTGCTTCTTAAACAGCCATAGGCCCGCAGAAACGGTGCTCCAGTGCTTTGCCATAAACCACAGTCCAGAGGAGAGCAAATGCCAAGGGAGAGGCCTGGCTCTGAGCCCAGGCCCTTTGATCTTCTTTGTTGCAGAATTCTCTCTGGTAGTTGTTATGTGTCCTCATGTTCTAACAGGATTGAGCTGTCATAGGAAATGATTTGTTGTACCCTTGCTTATGCAACACTTTCTTACAATTCTCAAACAACCTTTTTATAAAATCTCCTAAAACTTCTTCCTCTTGTAAAAAAAAAAACACAACACACTTGAATATAGTGTTTAGTATTTAAATGTAGAATAAGTCTTTTGCCCATAACCACTGGATATCCGTTAAAAGGTATTCAAATAAAGATAAGAGATAAAAGGAATTCTTTCATTCTTAGATATACTTACCTCCCCTTGTCCTGCTATTCCTTCTATCTGTTCAAAGGAGTATGTAGATTATTTAATAAATGTTTTCAATAAAGCTAAGATAAAGCAAGTGCTCAACGTAGTCTCAAGATCATAATTACTGAGAAATAATTATCTATCTATAACTGATGACTTACTGAATAAGGGAATGTGAGAATTTAGTGAAACTCTACACATTAGAAATTAAGATTTATATCTGTATGTATTGTTCTAGTGGTAGTAATTCATAGAGAGTTTTGCTCCTAACCCCAAAGCAGTAACTTTTTGACAGGTCAAATCTACAAGCAGCTCCATAGAAGAAAGAGGGGCAGTCTCTTCCCTTGTGATTTATAGCCTCTGAAAACTCAGGGGAGGGTCAGCTATGAGTAGGTTATGACTAAACTGCAATTAGAAAAAGATAGGGGGGACGTGTGTACTGGAGCTTGAGTGAAAGTAATTCAACAAGCATTTGAAAACTATCATATAATGATTTTTCGGAGTCACATATACCAAGCAAGTTTGGAATATTAAAAAAGAAAAATATTCTTGTTAAGTCAGGTAGATGGACAAATGAGTAATTACAGTGATAGAAGCTGACAGATATTGTAAGACCAAATAGGATTGAAACATAGAAATATAATACCTAAGACAAAATTTTAAAAGGAAGTCTTTGTAACGGAGGTAGGTTTTTCTGGGCCATTTTAAGTAAAGCATTAAAGAACAAGAAGGAATCGAATTAATGAGTAAAGTAGTAGAAGTGACTTTATGTACAAGGACTAGAAAGTGTGAGAGAGTATGGTCCTGTTACTTCCTCTGCCATTACAGTTGGTGGTGGTGGTGTGTGCCATTGAGTCAGAACAACTCAGAGCTGACCCTCCAGCAGGTTTTCAGGAGCTATAAATTGCACAGGAGGAGACTGCCCATCTTTCTTCCAAAGAACAGCTGGTGGGTTCAAACTGCGTGTCTGTGGATTACCAGCACAACTCCTGACTGCTTGGCCACCAGAGCTGCCATCACAGTAGCCACTACCACACGTGGCCCATTTGAGTGAAAATTGAAGTAAAAGCCATTTCCTCAATTATAATAGTTACACAAGTGCTCAGTGACCGCTCGCTACCATGTTGGGCAGCATGCATATGGAGGCCATTTCCATTGTCTGGGATGGCGCTGCCGGCAGAATCTGCAGGCTGCAATGTGTTACCGTGACAGGTGAAGAGGAGGGGCGAAGGAGCAAGTCAGAGCTTGGCAGCTGGGCCAGATTGCCGGGCAGGGAGTTGGTATTTCATACTCCAAAATAATTTCCGTCATTGTTCGTTTGGCATTGGTGGTTATCACAGATGCTTAGTGACACTTCTGTGTCATATATGCTTTTAAGTACATGTAGTACTTTTCTGAATTAAGCATAATGCTTAAAGTGGACATTTTACAAAACAGTTACCCTGCTGATCTTTATACTAATCATTGTCACACAAGTTTCTGCAGCACAGCCTCCCAGTCTGAAACTTAGAAGCCTTGCTTATTTCTGGCAGGGAAGTATTGGATGAAAGCTTAAATAATAATTGTAATATTAATAACGTGGAATTCCAGAGATCATTTTAGCTTAAGCTATAAACTGAAGCTTCTTGGGTCATCCTTACCTTGTTTGTTCTTTATAATATTGTAAAGAAGCTATGGAAATATAATAGATTGGCATTTTTCTTCTCTGATATGGTGTTGTTGAATAGCACAAGAGAAATTTTAGAAGATGGAGGGCAATAATTCTCACTGATTTCCAGAAAAAGCACTTTTGCTTTAATATAATGAAGTTGTAGTCATTACCTGGTTGTTGGTCCAAATGTTCCCTTTTATATGTTAAAGTTAACAACAGGGCACTAACAGAGCATAGCTCTGCAGGGAAGAACAGCATGCAAACTTATTTTTTATTCCTTTCTTCTATTGTAGAGGCATATCACTTGTTACCTGGTTAAAAGGGAGCGGGGGGAGCTTGCTCTCTGATTACAGGTTCAACCAGTGTAATAAAAGACAGAATAACGTTCAAATACACCTGGGAAGAACCAAATACGTTTTCATTTTTCCTTAACCACTGATAGATTCCATAAAGATAGAAGATCTTAAGTATATTAGGTATTCAGTTCACCTTTACACAAAAATTATCAAGATTTGTAAATAATTAATGCACAGATTTCTTCTTCTAAGTGTTACCTGAAAATTAATAATAATATTAAGAATTAATAAAGGTTTTTATTGTTAAGCATATTAAGTATACTAAATGCAATTCTTTATATTCATTAACATTAATTGTCACAAAACCTGCAAAATACATATCCTCCAGATTGCTTCTTTAGGAAAACAAAATGTAGTACTGTGCTCATACAGTGATAGATTTTGTAACCATTAGAAATAATGTTAGAGATTAATATCTTGTATCTTAGAAAAGTGTTTCATAATTTAATATAATATACCAAACACAGTGTGGGTCCTTGTGTAGTTTACATCCACAGACATAGAAAAATGTATCAAAAGATACAGGTCAAATGGCCTATGGTTACACGTGTCTCTTTGCATCTCTCTCATAGTTTGAATTCTGTTTTCAGTGTGTGAAGGAGCTGTGCTCACTGCTACTTAACCAGTCTCTCCTGCTCCCATCCCTGAAACTGCTCCTCGAAAGCCCAGATGAGGCTCTCCATGCTCTGGCACTGGAACACATCACTGCTATTGCCAAGGTAAGTGCAGCTGAATTAACTATTATTCACATGTGAAAGAAATTCCTTATCATGTAGTTCTCATACATGTCCCATAATTTATTTGGAACTACTTTATCTGCAGTATTCTGACCACAGAAACTTCTACTACTGTGTCCAAGAAGTGTATCTTAAATCTTTATTTCATAAGCATTTGCTAAACAACGTCCATGAGCCAGACTCTGTGTTTACACACTAAGAATACAGAACAGAATGAGAAAATCGTTTCACTAAAGAAGTAGCATATTAATTTCTTTAAGAAAATGTCAAGGCAACCAGACTAATCAAATGGACTTTTGGGTGGGTGGGTGGGTGGGTGGGTGTGTGTGTGTGTGTGTGTGTGTGTTTAAATAACACTTTTCCTCATACAACTTAAAATTTGGGTCTAGGAAATTCCTAGTATCCTGTGGATTTTCCTTCCTTGCATATATTTGTGGGATTATCTCCTAAATAAAAGTGAGAGGATAGTTTTAAATAGGGCTTACTGGCACCATCTTAACTCAAACTATTTTCTCTGACAATCTAAATTGCCACTGAGAACAGCTTGAGGATTGATGTCCAGGACTTAAGTCTTAAAAAACACCTTGAATTGTTTCCTTCCAGGGTGAATACTCAAATTCATTGCCATGTTGTTGGATCTGACTCAAACCAGAGCCTCCAGTGGGTTTTCAGAGTCAGCAGATTACACAGGAGGTGATTGCCCATCTTTCTCCTGTACAGCAGCTGGTGGATGCTGTCCACCTGCCTTTGGATTGGCAGTGCAACTCTTTGGCACTAGGCTAACAGAGCTCCCTCCTTGAAGGGAATTGTCTTGTTACTAAGAGTAAACTTTTTCTTTTAAAATATTACATATTGGAATTAGACAATTCAAGGATTTTCATTCAGTAGTTCACTTTGTATAATTCTTATTGGAGATCTTCCATACAAGAGGCCATTCTTTCATTCAAATTGTTTGTGTGAATATCTGTGCACATATACTATACCCACATACCTAGATAAATTTTTAGTTCTTAAGTGGAACAAACCACTAATAATTCATCTTCTACTTGAAACACTAATGCTTGACATGTCTCCGCTAAAAAACTTAGTGATCTATTTATGAAAGAGCAGAGTGATTGAAAACCGTATGGAAAAATCTACATGCAGATTTTTATGGGTATCTGTATGTATGTGTGAAAACACTGGTGGCCTTATGGCTAATGTTGTGCTGCCAACCCAGAAGCACATGGTTCAAATCCGTCAGCTGCTCCTTGGGAGAAAGATGAACAGTCTCCTTTCATGTTATTCACAGCCTCTGAAAACCCACTTGAGGTTTAACTGTGAGTTGGCTCTGACTTGAGAGCACACAACAGCAAAGAAGTATTTATATATATATTTCAGTTATTATTGTTTGCAAAAGTATAATAAGCTGCTTCTAGGGATCAGAGAGGGGAAAGAAATCTCTAGAACAAAATATTTTATTTGCCATATAAGACAGTGATGAATTTGCTTGTTAATATCTAAAACCACAGAAAGTTATAGAAATGGTTAGAGAAAAATAGAACATACTAGTATTTGGAAATAGCCTCCATGACCAAAATGAGAAAAATAGAATGCCTTTTTTCATTTTATATATTTTCAAAGTATACCATTCCCTTCATAATTGCATAATCACAAAGGGCCTCTTTAGACACCGGTCTGAAGTAGAGAACAAAGGGATCCTAGCAATCTTTCTATCCATCTGTGCTAAACCTTATGAAAAGATCTTGCATAAATGATACTGAAATGAGAGATATTTCTTTAGTTATTTTTTTCCCTTGTAGATCCAAGAAATCTGCAAGAGAAAGCCACAGAAAATTAGGCTCTCATTTTCAGTGCATGATTTCCTCCCACAAGATCATATACTGTATTATTAACTCTGCTTAGGCAACATTCCCGTTCAGATTTGCCATGGGCCTCTTCTAGACTACAGCAGTGATGTATTATACATGGCATCTATATATTCATCCTGCATAGAGCTCTCCTGATACATTCTTCAGTTCCATGGATGAATGTTTCAGTTCTCATTTTAAAGGTTTGTTTTATCTCAAAGGCATCTGTTAGAACTGAAACTAGAACTGAGACATCCTAGCTCGTCTTGGCACACA